CAGACTGAGCTGAATTCCCTCCTTTTATACTCATGGAGCATTTGGAGCATGCCCAGTATGGGCAGGGCGGGACTTCCGCTGACAGAGCTACCTGTCTGTCACTTCCGGGGCTAGTGCGGGGTGGAGCTGCCCCGTCACATACTCCTCACTTGAATGGTTACTAAGATGTAAAACAGAAGCTCCTATGTTGCAAGATTATCTAAATTTAATTATATCTGATGTATGGCTGGGATTTTCAAAGAAGCCTAAATGAGTTAGGTGTTTAGCCCCCACTGAAATACAAAGGGGATTGAGTACCTACCTCACTTAGGGTCTTTTGAAAATTCCAGTGTTCACCTATATATCTAGCAAAACAGTATATGCTCTAGAATCTGAAATAGTTTAATTGAAAATAGTTATGTTTTTGTATAGGTAACCTGCTAAAGGGAAAAATGTGGTTTGTGCCATTTGTTGCTGACTTTCTTTTTTAAGGTAAAGAAGGTCTGAAAGATCTCTTTATAAAATTACTTGTTTGCCTTTTTTACATTAGAAATTCAGGTCCTGTCTGTGCTTAAAGATTAACTGGAGGACCGCACAAGAGCCAAGATAAAGTTGAGCATTTTCAGGAGAAATCTTAAGTAAGGCTACTTAAAATTCTGGATTTGTTTTTAGTTAACATCTATTTAACCTTAATTATTAATCTATAATCTATAATATTTCTTTGCCCAAATATTAAACTCCCTTTCCCCTTAAATTAGTGTTAGATATAACAGGAAACATTTCTAGGAATGCCAGACGTCTTGCAGCACAATCAGAGAAGAATAGATTTTTCTATTCTTGATAGGTAAAAAGACAAAAGCAAACTTTAAAATAAATCTGGCTGCTATACATCATAAATCAACAAAAGTACACAAGTCCATTTAAAAACATTTTCTGACCCTTAAATATTTTGTAATTGCACGTGGGGAAGTTTTTGGCTATTCTTTGAAATGGCCTCTGCATTTTCATGTAAGCTTAGCTCCTAATCTTCAGTCCTGTGAAATGGTACTAACGTGACCCCCATCATTCACTGTTTTTATGAAAGCATCAACACTGGAAGGTACATCAGACGTGTGAAAGTGCAGAAGTAACTTTTCCTCAAAGAACCACAGAAGTAACCTTTCTGTTATTTGGCCTTTACAAAGAAAGCTGTTTGCTTAATTATGTTTGTGATGTATGCACATGTATTGCCTTGCAGAAAAAACTTCCTTTTATTCTAAATGCAATGTTACAAATGAGTGTAACCCAACATTTGAATGAAGTCGATTGCATTAACTGAATGGCATTAAGAAGTGGGTGCTGTTTCATTTCACCCTAGTCCAGGTGCTGCTGTGAAAGATTAATTATGATTTGAAGCAGATGCTGATATTGGTTTAAGTCTCCTTCAGAGAATATCTGTTACTGCTGAGTTAAAAATACAACATTCCTTCCTAAAGGAGCTGCAAGTCTTTCCAGCTTGCTGCTTCACACTATTGCAGCTTCTGGCAGCATGGTATACATTAGGCTCAATTTACTGCTCATGAACTTGGGACCAAGCAAAGACTCAAAAGAAGTTGCAGGCTGCTTGAGTTGTCATTTGGGATTCCTCTCTTCCCCACCCCTGAAAACAACAACATTTTTGAATTACAGTATTAGATTTTATAAAAAGTCTTTAACATGAACATGCCCTACCTACTCTACTGTTGTGCCTGTTTCCTGCTATGTTAGCACTTCTGTGACCACTGGCTGCTTGAGTTACTGGAGACTGTGTATTGTCACAGTTCAGTAACGCACAGTGGCTTCTGATATTAGTAGGCACTGTAGAAAGGCATTTGAATGCCATTTTATGGTGCACACCTTACATGCAATCCTGATAATGCATAGTACCCAGTATGCACATTTAAAGAAAGAAATTGCCTGAAATGATTGTGTGCTGTCTGAATGTATTGGGAGCGATATCACACATTTGGTTCAAGCTTGAAAGTAAATTTGTACTCTGAAAAATGACTAAATACATGTGTTTACCTTACTCATCTGCCCTATGGCTTTGGTTATGCTGTCAACCATGTAGAACTGCTAACTTGTCCCAGGTTGTATAATGGCCAGGGTGTAGGCGGCGGTGCCAGTGATGTCTGCTGGGTTGGAGTCAAAGACAAGAGCTGAGACTAGTTACCAAGCCAAGTCAGGAAAACAGATAGCAAGGTCAAGCCAGGATCGGTTCTAAGTCAGGAGTAAGATGGGGGAGAAAAGACAAGGTCTGTAGCAGTGGCAAGCCGGAGTCTGCATTGTTGGTGAGATGGTTCCATGGAGCAGCTTCCAGGCTTAAATAGTTGGTGTGCACCAATCAGGCAACCACTGGGTTCAGTTGCGCTGACATCTTTGGGCGGTACTTTTTGTGGTTCCTAACCCTCCAGTAATGAATGGATGGTGCTTTGCCTGACTCCCCAGTGGCACTCTGGAGGTGTGGGTTGCCCAGGACTCTGCAAACCTGGGTTGTAGACCTGCGGATCCTTACAAGTTGGATTGAAAAATGGATGCCTAAAAGAAAGGGATTTTTTTAATTTAAATTAAATACAGTCTTATTTTTTAAATTATGGCAGCCTATGGTAAGGCATAAACTATCATATATTAAATAATTTAAATAAAAGAAATTAAGCAAAGAAAGACAAACACTAAACTGGTGGAAGTCACTGGCTAAGTGATTAAACCAGCTTTTGAGAGCAGTAGCCTCTTCAGCAGGTGCAGAGAGAATATTTTCTCTTTTCAGTTTATTCAACTAGTTCAGTTTAATGACTTGTTCATTCAAAGTTAAGAAACCAAGTGGAAGCTGAAAAAATGGAATAAACCTATGAATGAAAACTAACTGAGAGAATGAGAATCTATTAGTTCTAAAATCTTGAGGGACTGACGACCCAAAACCATCAGTTCAATTCACTAACTACAAATAATACTTCCTTTGCTTGATAAATCAGTTAATTTCAAATGCAAAACCTTTTTATCTAAAATCTTTCTGAAACATTTGTCTTACCTATCAAGTACATTTAAGATATTTTTATTTAACTAATAACTACCATTTTAAAATGAATTTAACTTCCATCCAAATAGAGCTTGACACAAATAAGAAGTAAAAATTAATCACTAGGAAATGACTGTCACCACTTTCTAACATAGATTCTAGGACTGGAAGGGACCTCGAGAGGTCATCGAGTCCAGTCCCCTGCCCGCATGGCAGGACCAAATACTGTCTAGACCATCCCTGATAGACATTTATCTAACCTACTCTTAAATATCTCCAGAGATGGAGATTCCACAACCTCCCTAGGCAATTTATTCCAGTGTTTAACCACCCTGACAGTTAGGAACTTTTTCCTAATGTCCAACCTAGACCTCCCTTGCTGCAGTTTAAGCCCTTTGCTTCTTGTTCTATCCTTAGAGGCTAAGGTGAACAAGTTTTCTCCTTCCTCCTTATGACACCCTTTTAGATTCCTGAAAACTGCTATCATGTCCTCTCTCAGTCTTCTCTTTTCCAAACTAAACAAACCCAATTCTTTCAGCCTTCCTTCATAGGTCATGTTCTCAAGACCTTTAATCATTCTTGTTGCTCTTCTCTGGACCCTTTCCAATTTCTCCACATCTTTCATGAAATGCGGTGCCCAGAACTGGACACAATACTCCAGCTGAGGCCTAAACAGAGCAGAGTAGAGCGGAAGAATGACTTCCCGTGTCTTGCTTACAACACACCTGTTAATACATCCCAGAATCATGTTTGCTTTTTTTGCAACAGCATCACACTGTTGACTCATATTTAGCTTGTGGTCCACTATAACCCCTAGATCCCTTTCTGCCGTACATAATAAGTATAAATATTATGAATCTAAATACATGTAAATTAAGCTATATTTGCTTAAATAAATGTATAATATATCCTCCTGGTTAGCAAAAAGAAGCACCAAATATAATATAAAGGCTATATTTAGTTGCAAATCAGTATTTTAATGGTTCTCAACCAATGAGAATCAATCTTTTCCTAAAGAACTAGAGTACAAACAAAAATAAAATTATAATTTAAATCAAGGTTTCCTGCTTGCTGATTTATTAAATGATTTAAATTTCCAATTTTAATCAAAGTGGTTTTAGTCTATCCATACTGCCTGTACCAACGAACCTGTTTCTACTTTCATGTTGTCCTCTCCGCCTTGCTTTCTTTCCACTATCTGGAAGGTCAATCATCTGTTTGTGAGCTTTCTGCGGCAAGGACTGTCTTTGTGGTGGCTTTTGTACAGTATCTATTATAGTGGTACCCTAATCTCTGTTTAGAATCCTTAGGCACTGCCACAATAGTAAAAGGCGAAAGATTTATACGATCTGAAGAGAAACCAGAGTAGTAATGATTCACGTGTTTGCTTTGCCTGACACATTTTTCTCCTACTAGCACAATAGGATCAATGGAGTTATTGGAGGGGGGAAGGAAGTGGTCTTCTTTTCTGACTCTTATATTGAGAGAATTAAGTTTCAGTTGCCATATCTTTATTCTATGATGCACAATCAGATTGTTTTCTATTATATATTTTTAAATTCTAGATTGAGTTGGCAGTTTAAAAAAGCAGGCATCTTTTTGCCTGTAACTAAGTGACTATGATCAAGTCTTGAGACAAAAAACATGAAACCCTGTTGGGGTTTTTAGCATATAATGACCCTTTTAACTTTGGCTTCTAAATGTTATATATACAGACTTAGGAAGTCTAACCTTGTTTTCCAGTAGTAGAATTTTTTCCATGTGTTGTTTAAAGCATCATAACTATTGTTAAGGGCATTATATGGGAGTTCTGTAATAGCCCCCCACCTGCAGGTTGCTCAGTAATTCGCAATGAGTATTTATAATCTCAGACACAAAAAGAACAGGAGTGTGCACTGCTAAGGTGGGGTGTGTGTTAAAAGCACTTTGATTTTCAAACTTTATATGGCCTTATGGAACTAACTGAAATATTTCTTCTCCTTTCCAGTTTAGGTCTAATATCAGATTCCTTTCATATGTTCTTTGACTGTACTGCTCTACTGGCCGGATTAGCAGCTTCTGTCATTTCAAAGTGGCGATCAAATGATGCTTTCTCATATGGGTAAGAAATTTTAGCTTCTTATAGCATAGGAAATATATTTTCATAAGTACATAGACAGCACTTCCTGTTGCCATGTCTGAGGAAAGTGTAGCATGACTAGTTTTTGTTGAAAAATTTTGGGGAAACTGTTGAAATTAACTGTTCATTTAAAAAAAAAAAAAAAAAAAAAAAAAAAGGGAAAAATAAAAAAAAAAAAAAAAAATAAAAAAAAAAAAAAAAAAAAAGGTGGGGGGGGAATATTGAACTAAACTTGAACTTCATGAAACTGGCACATAAGTAGCCAAGTGTGTCTCCTACAGAAGTGTAGCATAATTTATAAATAAAATTACAGTGTTATGTTTCTGGGGTGAAGTTTAAGACACTTCCAAGAACTGTTTGCTGATTGATATTAATGGAAACACAAATCATGTTGCAAAACGAAATGTCACATTGCATATTGTTCAGCTGCTACTGATTGTTTTTTTTTTTTTCTGCTAGCATCCACCCTAATGGGTGATAGCCAAAGTTGAAACAGCTTTTCTTTTTGGACTTTGTTTTCCCCGAGTCTTAACTTGAATATTCCCTGTATTGGAGTACTACATACCACGCTAAACTGATTCTGCTTGCTTTTGGAGTGGTTGAAACACTGACACTGGTTGCGTATTTTAAAAACACCAGTGGCAGCCCTAAGTGAAAATTAACTTTTTGCTCACATTCTAGTGGGAACAATTATCCATATAAAACTGTTAATGGTGGGCAAAATATTGCTTTCATGGCTCTAACCATTTACCTGCAGCATGAAAATACTCTTCCCTTTAGTGGCTGATCTTAGTGGGGAAGATTTGAGAGTACTGAGAAAAGCTTTATTCTAGTTCCTCTCCGCGTGAATTCCACTTACGGTGCAGCAACATCGCTTACATAGGAGTTCTCCAGTAGGGGTTGCGCAGGAGCCCTTCATGCCCACTGGTGCACTTCACCCTGCTCCTCCTCCAGGGCATGAAGGGGCAGCATGACCCGTTCATCTTCAGTTCCTTCTAACTGCTTTTCGGCAGCGAGTGGGGACATTTTGTTATTTCGCTGTTAGTATAGTTTGTTACTGTTACAATTTATTAGCCTTATAATTTAGGATTTGTTATTTAGTCCTTGGCTACTTAGTTTAAACAATAAACTTATTTTTAAGTTTAGTACAGTCAGTAAGATTAGTCAGTTACCTTGTCAGTTTCAGACTTTATTCCATGCTTGCCAGGATTCAAGTTGTACCCATCTGCAGGAAAGGACACAGTCTGTCATCTTTGTTTGGGGGGAGCAGGGAGGCCTCGTAGCACATTTTGAGGGGATGTCTGCACAGCTTTTATAAAATGCACCTAGAAAGTTAGAGAAAACAGACTGAGTCTCTTTCTAATGGAAAACTCTGGGACCTCAATCAGACTGACATGCTAGAGCTTCAAGGACTCTCGGGCTTAATGGCAGTGCCCCAGAGACTAGGGAGGTAATGCAGACTTCTGTAACTCCTAAGAGGCATCACTCCTCCTTTAAGAGCGCTAAAGCTCGTCCAGTTGAACAGGCAAACGCTCCAGCTATCCACAAGCCCAGGGACCATGTAGGCAAACCTGCAGTTAGGCTGCACTCCCCTTCTTTGGTACTGCAAAAGATAAAAGGCAGTGTCACGGGTACTGAGGGAACTGCTCAAGGCCGCATTGGCGCCGATATCTCCAAGGAAGAAAGCGTCTCTGCCAAACCAGCTTCCCTCAGCAGCCCAAAGAGATCAAGGACTGACTTTTCAGCATTGGTTTCCTCAGTGCCATTGCAGCAGCAACAGCAGTCATAGCATACCCCGGTACATGCAGAGGCTACTGTACCAGGGCACTTGCATGCTAACTCCTCAGTACCAGCTCAGGGAGCCACTAGGATGGTATGGGCTGTTGCAGTGCTGAGGCTATAATTTTCAGGCAAGAAGAACCTGTCAGCAGTGGTACCAGACTCCTCCTCTTTCTCGTAAGTGCCGCCAGAGATGTTTTCAGTTCTCCATTTCAGGGACATGGATGACATCAGAATAACTCCAGAGTTATGCTCCCCTTTATTGGCTTATTCCCCTCAGTCTTCATTCCAGCTGAAAATCAGGACAACCCAGGATACCGATCATGAAGATATCACTACATTCCGGGAGCCATAATCATGGTAAATTGTCTACTCCTCATACTTCAGCAATGCCGTCTAGTGCAGTTCCCCACTCTGAAGACTCTTCATTGTCATCTGTGACTCTTCCCAAGCAGCCGGTAGGGACCATTCTCCAGAACCTCTCCACCTTCATTGTCCTCCAGGGAAGATTGGCAGAGGCCCTGGAGGTTTTTCACCTTCCTCCGCAGCATGGGGCAGGGGTCGCAAGCTGGAGGATTCTCTGCAACTTGAAGTCTCCAGATCGTGATTTAAAGACTTCAACAGCTGAGTTAAGGGAAAGTGGGAGGGTCAGCTTTTGTGGCCTGCATCATGCAGGAGGTCAGACTAGATGACCATATTGGTCCCTTCTGACCTTAAAGTCTATGAGTCTCCTTCTTGAGCTAAGCTTTAGGATAAAATAGTTTATCCTAAGGACTCTACCTTTAGACCCCCATTGGAAGAATCAGCTTTCATTCCCTGGGGACAGCCTCCTTAAGTCCATTGCCTATGGATTTCAACTAAGGCCTTATTGGTCTACTCATCATTCATGGCTACCAAGTCTTTTAGTCTCCCAAGAATCTCCTTGAGAAAGCCATCAAAACCCTGTTCTCTGCCAATACCTCAACCAAATATGGAATCAAAAAATCCTTTGAGGAAGAGTGTGGAGAAATTCACAATAGCCCTTCACGTACACCTCTCTATACTTACACCAGATAAAACCTCATCTGTGGGATGATCCTGAAACAGCTACAAAGGAATTTCTAGGACAAGACATGCAAGTTATTTGATACCTTGCTACCAGCTGCTCAGAGCAGAATAGCTCTTCCAATTGATAGAGATTCTCGCTGCTGCCAAGGAATTATGGGCAAGCCCCCTGCATCTATCACCCCAACTTTGAAAAGGGCTGAATGAAAGTATCGAGTCCTTCCTAAAGGGTCTGAATATTTTTGTTCGCGTTCACTGCCATCATCGTTAGTCACAACAATAAGTTAGAGCCAAACAAGCTTACAAATCTGTCAGATGAGAAAAAGGTCCCCTTGGCTGCAAGGTTTACCCTTCGACATCCCTTCAGGTCAGGATGGTGAACTATTTAGCTCTGTTGGCTAGAAGTAACTATACAGTGGGACAAGGCAGCAGATTTTTCCAACAAACTACCTCCTGATTTAATGGAGGAGTTTAAATTGATCTGCTCAGAGGGACACTGGATTTCTAGAGTGTCTCTCCAGGCAGACCTTTACAGACGCAAGGACTCGATCAGTGGAATTGCCATGATGATTGACTCCTGGTTGTCTGCCTCAGGTCTACCTAAAGAACTGCAGACTATGGTACAGGATTTACTGTTTGATAGAAAAGACCTGTTTAATGACACATTGCCCCCTTTGAAAGATTCTTGGGCCATACTTAGAACTTTTGGCCTTTATACTTGCAGCTCTAAAAGGTAACAGTATATTAGAATACCTCTTGACAGAGATTTCAATCATCTGCATCCTCGCACCATCAGAAACAACTAAATCAGTTTAGAAAGGGACAGAGGTTCCTAAAGCAGAAAACAACTGCTTCGTTTACTTCTCAACCATCCCAACAACAAATAGAATGCTTCAGTCAAGGATGCCAACCCAATCTGTGAATACCACCCCCGACCTTTGGTTCCTGCCCCTCTCTCTCTTCCCCCCCCCCTTCCCCGCCCGCGCAAGGATGCCTCGACTTTAATAACAACAGACTGTTGGGTCTTGCAGGTCATTCAACAAGGTATGCGCTACAATTTTGCCATGGTACGCCATACCTCCTCCCCCACCCCTTTTCAGGGACCAACCTCACGTGAGTCTTGTGCACCAAAAGATACAGTCTCTATTAGAGCTGCATGCTGTAGAGCCAGTTGTGCTTCACCTCAGAGGAAAAGGATTTTATTCCCTTTACTTATTGATACCAAGGGAAAAGGGGGAGTGGTAATCTTTAGTAGCTCTCAGGCTCCTCAACGTTTATATGGCCAATCCAAAGTTTTGCCTTGTTGGCTCTGGCATATGTCATTAGATCCCATGCACTGATTCAGTACTCTCAACTTGCAAGACACACACTTTCATGTGGTGGTATATCTGTTACACGCAAAGCTTTTCTTCATTACAATACTGAAGGAACATTATCCGTTCAGGGTCATCTCATTTGGTCTCTCAGCCGCACCTTGAATTTTCATGAAGTGTCTGTTGGTGGTAACCACTCATTGACATTGTCAGGGTATTTGTGTACCCACACCTTGACAGTTGGTTAATCTGAGGCAAATTAGCCAGCAGGTCTCCAACTCAGTAAAATGGATTCTGGGCCTGTTCTTAGAGTTAGGACTGAAAATCAATTTAAAGAAATCTCAGTTGATTCCATCCCAATCCATAGAATTTATTGGTGTTCTCCTGTGCACTTCTGCGTATAGAGTAAGATCAGTCCAGACACTGTCTAATCCACCATATGCAATGTTCCATGCAGACAGGGTGACCATGCAACATCACCCTAAGTTTATCCCTAAGATTGTATTGCACCTTCATATTAATCAATATATACACTTTGGTCTATTTTTTTCCCCATGGCCTCACTCATCCCCAGATGTTAGTACATTAGTACTATCTTAGTAAGACAAGTTTGTTCAGAAAATCTCCTAGACTTCTTAAAGCAAATGGCAGTGCATCTAAAGGCAGAGCAGCCTCGTCTTGGAGATTATCTAGATGGGTTGTATCAAGATTTCTTATGTCATCCATAAATTACAGATACCAAGTCAAGTTACTGCTAGTTCTACTCAAGCTACGTTGGCAGCATGCTTCAGCAGAGATGCAGTCATTGAAATTTGTAGAGCAGTAACATGGTTCTCTACCCACTGACCAACCACTACTTTCCCTGGTAGCAACATCTGGAATGCATGCTGATTGGGATATGCTCAGCTTGGAAGATAAGCTCCTAGCTCCCACTGCCTACTTCACTGAACTGCTAGTTGATTACTGTAACTGGGAGCTACATGTGCAGGAACATGAAGAAGAAGCTGTTACTTTGTGGTAAATTGTTATTCTTCAAGAGGTTCTGTGTGTATGACTCCCATGACCCAGCCTCACATCTTCACTGCTTGGAGACTCCTCTTGAGACTCTGGGCAGTGAAGGAACTGAGGAAGAAAAAGTTGTGAGGGGGGGCATGTGGGCATGAAGGGTATATGCATGACCCCTACTGGACACTGTTGTTTGAACTTCAGAACACCTGTGCAAGGGGTGCTGCTGCACCATAAGTAGGTTCCACATGCACAGAACATCTCAAACACTTACCACAAGGTAAGTAACCATTTCTTTCATACAGATCTGATATCTGAAAAACAGTAAACAACTGGTGAAGGGCAGGCAGCCTATTATAGTGTTTATATCAGTGGACTGGAGTCAAGAGACGTCAGTTTTAATCTCCACTCTACTGGTGGCTTTCTGAGAGACCTGTCCAGGTCACTTAATATTGTGCCATTTTCCTCATCTGTAATATGGGGTTTCTCTCCTCCCTATGTAATACACTTTGAGATCATCTGAAAAGTGTTTGCTGCAGTATGGAAAATAATTTACTATATTTTATATCAAAGCCAATAAAAATCAGGTTGGTTGACATTCAAAACTCCCCGTCAGTCTTTCTTTTCAAAAATTCCTTTCTACATAGCTACAATAGGGGTGAAAGAATAAACTATAGTCCAGTTCATGGTACCATCCTGCCTCTGATATATTGAAATTAAAAACTCTAAACACTTCTGGATGTTCAGTTTATAAAAAGGAGAGGTAACATCTGGTATTGCTGATTTGATTCTAGGTATGTTCGAGCAGAAGTACTGGCTGGTTTTGTAAATGGTCTGTTTCTGATCTTCACAGCATTCTTCATTTTCTCTGAAGGCGTTGAGGTATGTTCTGAGGTCAATTGCAGTCAATAAATCTCCCCTGAAAAAATGTTTACCTTTGCAGAAGCTGCATTTCTCTTTAGGAGTGTATATTTAAGGGGAGAGGACAACTTAAGCATTACTGTAATGGATGATGAGTAGTCCTATTCACAACCAATTAAACTTGGGTCATCTGAACGGAATAGAGAAAATCAGCTGGAGTCAGTGTTGGATGTACATGTATAAATATCTTCTTTTTTCAGTGTTTATTAGCTTTCAGAATAACGTATTTTGATTGCATGAATGATGCTAACTTCTGTCAGATCTACCCTTTTCTTCCGCAGCCAGTATAGTATTCCATAGAATGGCACTTCCTTTTCATTATTAAAGGAAAAATAAGGCTAGAAAACAAAAGGAAGCCATATGAGCATTTTATGTGGACAGAGCATTCTAAGTAAGAAGTTAAGATTAGATGTTTGTCAGAAGGAAAGAAAGGGATGAGCTTGTCAAACAGCAGCGGTAGTGTTGATCAGTGTTGTGAAGAAAAATGAGTGAGCAGAGAAACTGGCTTTTATGCTATTAGGAGGTAGTGTTAATTTTTGCCCAGAAGACGTCTTGAATAAATGTGTCATAGTAACAATCTGAACACTTGCAGATATGTTTTCTTAGATTTCTATTCTATTGACAGGTAGCTTATTTGTTTGATAGTAACAAAAGGTAAAACTTTCAAAAGCAGGAAGTCCCATTTTCACAAGTGACTTAGTTAATGGAAAGTTAATGAGACATAAGCTTGTAAGTCACTTAAATGCTTTGGAAAACTTTACTCTAAGACTACAAAAGCTAGCCAGAAAAAATACTAACCCAAAGTCTGATATGAAGTAGGGAGACCACTAGGAGGCCTCAGAGCAGTACCCTGGTAAAATGGCAGCTTGCCTTTTCTGTTGGGAATGTGGGAGTAGGTTTTTCTTTAGAGTGCTCCCCCTGGCCCATGCTGGGGGCCTCATCTTTTTATACTGACCTCTGGTAATAAGCGGTCCAGTTTTGGAGCATTGGTTCATTCCCACCCATTCACATGCTAGATGAGCAGGCACTTCTTCCCTTTTTAGCCCTTTTCCTATTCTGTTAGAGATGCTTGCAGGATTAAACAGTGTCAGAGGAAGCATCGCTAACTACAAAAAAGTAATTCCAGAGTGTTTTAGTGATGTCCATAATAGGTTCTGGTAAATTTGTTTCAGTTTTTAACATAGGATTTAGGGGTAATTAAAACTCCAAGAAAATAGACTCTCAGCTGTCCCTCTTACCTCACCTGTTGAGAGAAAAGAGGTGTTCTTCAGACTGAGAAAAAATTTTACATAGTCCCAGTATAACTGCGAACTAAAATATCTTGGTGTCATTTTGAGCTGAATAATGCCGTAACAGAATATAATGAAGAAGATGATAGTGAAATGTAGCTCTAAAATACCATTTGAAAAGAGACGTACAAAATATTTGGTGAATGACTTCCAAACAAGGAGAAATATAGGTATTGAGGTTTTTTAAGTTTTCATAATTCTTCTAGAATACCAGCATTCCTAATTCATTATCATTAATCTCTTGATTTGGATATTGTATCAGAAAACTCCTGCATCAAATCACATATGTAATACTGTGTCTATTTTCTGGAGTTGCTTCTAATTGTGTGGTAGGATTATAAATGATGCACTAAACTTGCTTCTTTTTGTAGAGAGCATTGGAACCTCCTGATGTGCATCATGAGAGACTTCTTCCTGTGTCTATATTAGGATTCCTTGTGAATCTTATAGGAATATTTGTTTTTCAACATGGAGGCCATGGACACTCACATGGCTCTGGTATGACGGTTGTAATTCTCATTATCCTTTCCTTTTTGGCAATTTGTGTTCAGTTACAATTAGCCCTCCAACCAGGGTCTGCATGTTGCATGTTTTGTGTCTTTCAGTGGCAAGCCTAATGAGTCATGTACAGCCTTGGCTTTTTCAGTATTACTAAGATAGTATCCATTTTTCCTCCTTATTGAACTCTCAATAATTGGAAACCAAAAAAAATTAATCTGATGTCTGGAACTTATTGGAAGAGACTTGCAAGAATTTTCATTTATACAAAAGATTTTTCTCTTTAAATAGGAGACTGAAATGGCCGTAGGTGGAGCATTTTACAGGAGAATAGCTGAACAAAAATCTTAAATCTAAGAAGAAAATCTTTCAGTAGTTCTTGCAATTGTTTAGCATTGTTTTTCAAATTAAATGCAAGATTTATATACACAAATATCTATATGTTAAATATTGCTCTGACTTTTTGCTGACATCAGGCCTTCTAATGTAGTCTGTGAACTGTAACTCATCCTGACAGATGGAAGTAGTGTAAGTATTTTACACACTTTTTAATGTGATGGATTTTTTAAACATCATAGTATAAACACAGCAGAAAAGTATGGCCACTTTCACCACACAGAGCTGGAAGTGTGTGTTACAGTCATGCAAAAATGTATGCAGGATATTTCAGTGGTGGTCTAAAATGGCTTGGCTCAAAAAAGTAACAGATAAAGCATTTTGACTTTCTTGTTCAAGTTCAGTAAATATTTTATGCAGCAACATAACTTGGATTAATTTAGATTTTGAATTATGTGTATTAGTTTTTCTCTACCTGACCTACATGGGAAAAAAAAAATCTTTTATTTTCCTTGTGGAGTAGGTAGATATTAAGTACTTTAGAAATGAATGTAAGCATACTTTTTCTTTAATATTCACGTACACAGTATTCTGACAGTGATATTTATTTATAGGGCATGAGCACAGTCATTCTCTATTTAATGGTGTTCTCAGCCATGGACACAGTCACGGAGGTCACGGTCACAGCCATGAATCCAAACATGGCCATGGGCATTCTCATGATCACAGTCATGGGAAGGGACACTCGCACAATCAGGATTATTGTCATGGTAAGTGTCTGTCTGAAAACAAAGGCCATATACCAGAGATGGTATGTGCCATTAAGTTTTAGTGGCACAGATCTTTGTGGATAGATGAGAAGATGCTGGCAGCTTGCTTTAGCCAGCACATATGGAAGAAATGTTTCTAAAAGGAGAATGCTAGTGGCATGTTCTTATCCACCTAATGCATCTCGTGGTACATCCAAATCAAGGTATATAATTGTTGTTTCATTGTAAGCTTTGTAGTAAATTCAGCATTGCAATAATGAGAACCAATCTAATACTTGTGAATTATACTAATACTTTTAGTAGTAAATATGCAACTTTAACTGTAAACTTGTTTGTGTAGAGGAAAACTTAAAGGTATCAGCTTTTCAAAAAGCCCTTAACAAAACCAGCTCAAGTTATGTCATGTAGTTCATACTACTTTAATAACAAATTATACCTGTTATATTGGTTTAGCTATGCATACAGCTTGGTTACATCCCAAAAGATGTGTCCACCTAAGTATTCACATGTGTAGGCAAAGGTTCAAAGTATAGCTTCTGCTTTGCCTTGCCAGGACTGCAGCCTCTACTGCAATCCCCCACACTTTGTGCCGTCAGGGATCGGCATTTTATAGTACATTTTATGCACATGTGCATTCACATTTATTCAAAACCCTATTATTCCTTGTCCCCAGGCTGCACGGGGAGCCCTCTTGCCATAGACCCGCTCGCTCAAGCCACAGTTGGGCTGCAGAGAGCTCCCTGTACTGCTACAGGAACCATGCAGTAGCAAGGTGGCCTCCCCCTTAGCCGAGGGCAGCAGTGGCTCCTGCTCGTCGTCGTCGTCCTCCTTGCAATCCTTGCGGAGGGTCTGTGCTCCATTATCCGAACCTCATCGTTATCCAAATTCCCTCCTTGTCCCCCAGCATGAGATACATACCTTCAGCCGCAGGTGTCTCATGCTGAGGGACAATGAAAAGGGGTTGGATACTGCGGAGATCTGGATAATGGGGTTTCGGATAAACAGGAGTAGTGTGTGTGTGTGTGTGTGTGTGTGTGTGTGTGTGTAAAATATATTATATATACACACACACACCCCTATGCGCGCGCGCACACACAGGCTTCCCCTTCTCTTCTTCCCCCATCTTGAAATTTCAGCTTGCTCTTTACCTTCATTCTGGTACAGCAGATACTACATTTTCTAGCCAGAGTTATCACTAGTCATCATGAATAACCTTATGGTCCACTCAAAGTAGTTTTCCTTTCTGAAGCTTAACAGAATTGATAAGTTTAGAAGGATACATTGCATTTGGCTTAACTTGCCAATAATTGTCTCTACAGATGATCACTCTCTTGAAGGGGCTGCAGGATCCAACAGACAGATTTTAGAAGGTATGACAAGAATAACCATAGTGGGTTGTTAGTTTAGATAATAGACCCATTTAGATGCTGGCTATAAATTCAGTGGTGTTCTTTGTTAAGGTATTAATAATGAACAGAAAGTTGTGTTAAGTGTCTGGTTTATTTTCTTCAGAAATTCAATGTGAAAAGTTTATACAAGTGACCTAATTTCTGTATTTCAAGTGCCTATCTCCTATGGCAATACATGCTCTAGAAAGTAATGAAATAGTAAGTAATATCATACTGGAACACATTTGAAAAGCTTTGACCAATATCTCAGATTTTAAAGGGTTGAGGACTGCAGTACTTAACTTCACCTTTCAGGAAAGTGAGACTATGCTGAGTGAATAACCATCTTGTCTAGTTAAAACCCCCAGTAACTTAGCTCATTCTGGACACCTGGATCAGTTCTTTTCTTATAATGTAATATTGGGAATAGGGATTGGGGCTGGTAGAGAACATCTCTATACCCATATCCCCATGGGCATCTTGCAGTCTTAGCATCTGTGCAGGAAGGTGTTGTGTTCTTCCGTCTCCAAATAAATGGAAGGGTGAGGGGGGAAATTAGGAGCCGCTGGGCAGGCTAGGTAGGGGCTGACAACAAAGCTGCCCTAGTACTTTGCGCTCTCCGGCTTTCTGTGAGCTATGCTGCAGCAGCTTCTGGGTTCTCTCTACTGTCCATTACATGGTTTTGTCTGCTGCTGGGCAGGAACCACAGTCATCTCTTTACCTCTACCCCTCCTCTCAGAATGAAGGACTTGAGTGATCCCTAGTAATTGAGGGGATTTGGGGAAGACTGCTAAGGTTACCTCCTGGCAGCTGCTACAGTCTGTTCAGGGAGAGTAGAAGGAAACTCAGTGGCTGTGCAGCTTCACTGTCTGTGGGCCCCTCTCTGCAGCCCCACTGCCTTTGGCCCCATTTACCTAGTTTTCCACTTATGCTCTATCACCCTAAGAAAATGATGCTTTTACTCTTCCCCAAGGTCTGCCAGTTCCCTATGGAGGGCATGCACAAAGGATCTCTGATATCTGCCACCATCCTCGGTCTTGTCTGGTTCCAAAGGGGACGTTTGGTTGCATGTGGGCAGCTTAAACAAGAATAATAAGAGAAATAATTACTTTAAAATTGGTTATTTAATCACCATTGGCCTGACCAACCCCACTGAAGCCAGCATGTGACATGTAACTTTATTTCCTTGCGTTGTACTTGACATAAAGCAATGTGTACTTGTGGTGTCTCTTATCGGATACTTTTGTGGCTCGGGGTTATCCTATAGTTGTCAGATATATCACGTGCACGACAATAGTCTTATCTGATCTCTTCCACCATACGTATTACTTTAAATTTCTCTCTCTCCCCACAGGCACATTAAAGTGTTTGTGAATGGCTGTCTTTCAGAAGCAAATGTATAACAAGAATTTAAAAACAATTCTTTAAGGCAAATTTCTGGCCTGCTGGTCTTAACATAGGATATTAATTAGTAGAATGAAATGTGAGTTTAACAAGACTGTTTATTCAAGGTTTTCTTACCTGTTTTATCTTAATGAATAAAACTTAGCGATACTGGATGATTATTTACAATATTTTACATACCTCGGAAGCCATCTTCCTGCTTGTTATGCAAACAATGCATCGTGAAATGAACACTAATGCAATTATCTTACCTTTCTTATTTTGGCAGAAAAATTTTAATTGAAACTCCCAGTAAAGATATTGAAGTTGCTGTGTGTTTTGTGTTTATTTCCTTATGCAAACAATTTAAAAACTAGCTTGAGTTAATTTTAATTCTGTTGAAAATGTTTTTCTTAATCAAATACAAATATTTTTATTTTTTTAATCTGGCTAGATATTTATAGGTTTGTGGGTGAAATACTTCAAGCTGTGAACAATTACTTATTTTAACAGCAGTTGATGATCTGTGACTGTACCAATAATTGCCAGCAGAGAGCTCCACAGGCTTATCTTTGGCTAGCTACAAAGAGTTGGCTCTCACTGTTTTAATCTAAAGCTATATTTTCCCACATAAAATCATAACTTATTAATGCAAGAAATATTTTTAATTTGTATTGACAGTGAATATGTAACTTGTAAAATACAAATATCTCGCAGAGCTCCTGCTGGCAAAACTTTTTTTTTATCTCTTCTAGTAGAAATGTTGCTTATGGAACACCGGGGGTAAAGATTTGACTCATCTGCTGTATTATGGCCTAGCCATTGGATGAAGGACTTCTAACTGGTTAAATCTATTCTGACATTTAGTCACCAGTTCAGTTGATGGTGGTAGTCAAGAATATTCCATAGCATGGCCACATTTAAAAAAGAGTTTCTCTGAATGCCTTAGCAACTCTTCAAGATATAGGTCCTAATCCTGTGCTGACTTACAGGAAGCCCTTTAAATCAACACCAAATTTGCTAGCACAGTTCATTTTGTTGTCTGATTTTAAGAGTTCTCATCAAAATGTTTCCACCAACTTTTTTTAAGGGCCTTTCATTTTTAAGTGTTGATTTTTTTTTAATGCTCTTTTGTAGGTGTATTTTTACACATTGTCGCAGACACTCTTGGAAGTGTTGGTGTAATCATATCAGCTATACTGATGCAGAACTATGGTCTAATGATAGCAGATCCTATCTGTTCAATGCTCATAGCTCTACTTATAGGAATAAGGTAAGTGTTGATACAAATGACTAAATAGTAAAACATTCAGTGACCTGTGTTATGTTGTTTGTAATCACAAGCCTAAAAACAGGGGTAGGTCTGTTTTAAAAACAAAATTACAATGTTGATTCTTGACAGTGTTGACTCTTTTGCTCTAAAAATAAACAGTTTCCTCTCTTTGCTGTTTCTTTCCATTCTTTGTACCTGTTCTGGTTTTTCTTGCTTGAATCATCTTGATCTTTTTCAGCAATCGCCACCTGCATATCTTTGTTTTATTGTCCTAGCACTACAAATATTTTCTTCTGATCCATGTTGTAAAACACTTCTCTCCATTTGTGTAGTACACGCTAATATAAGCTGATGTACTGTACTAGTAAATGGAGCAGAATAGCTCAGTGTAGTAGGGTCCAGCTTGCTGGTACAAGATGTGGCCTGATCCTTGCTGAATTAAACTTCCACAATCATCAGAGAATGTTGCTTGATCCTTTGTATTTATATTCTGAGGCTTTGTGGATACGCTCTTAAATAGCACATGCTGGGTCATTTAAAAAGTGGTTCCCATGTTGAGGCATGCAGTAGTAGAAGATGGTGAAGTGCCATATATTTCCCTATTATTGCTGTTTACTGAAATTATTGTAAATAGAAGTTCATTGAAACCAGAGTTTTCAGTGACACTCTTCTGGTAATTTCTTCAATGATGGTAGAGGGTAGAGTATTTCAGCTTCAGACAACTTCTATAACAGAGCATTGCTACTGTTTAACAGGCAGGTATTATCCAGTATTTGAATGGCTGCAGCTGTACTTGGGTACTATTACCATATATGGTAATACATGGCAGTATTTGGAGGCAGTCTGATGTGACTCTCCTTTGCTATCTTCTAGAATTATGGATAGTATGTTTTAAGCATTAACTCTTCAGGGATGCCTAGAACAATTTATAATAGTAAATTTTAATAAACTGTTATATTTTGACTGCATTTATTAATACCTGTGCAATACACAGGCATTATAACAGTATACTTACTATTTTCTCCTTTTATCAACACTAGCTAAATTATTGGATATGTTTAACTAAGCAATTGTACAAATGAAACTGCTAAAATATAATATAACTAAGAAAATTCAAGGTGACCAATAGAAAAAAGATACAGCTAAAGTGGTAGCTTAGTGGAATGCTGTGATTTTTATAGATTAGTATTCTGTGTTTTTAGGGTCCAATCCTGTGGAGACTAATGCATGGGCTTAACTTTTGTGCAAGGTGCTAGGCAAAGCAAAAAACACCATTTAAGTGGAGTGGGAATGAGGGGACAATAAATAACATTGTTTGGACATTGGAAGATGTTTGCTGCTACTTTAGTAGAGGTTATATCACTTTGTTGTGGACATAGGAATAGCGTATCATATTTAGATAAGAGAATTTCCAGACAGTTGTAGCATGTGATGAAAGGGCTAGAGATCTGTTCAAGGTGACATAATGCTTAGACATTAAAAAATGGAGCAGTTGGCAGGGTTATGTTGGTCTTCATCAGAGGCTCCTTTAAATATTACTTTGCTTGCCCTGGATACTGCGTAAATCCTCCCAGGATCATTCTGGGGTCTTTGCACTGCCCAGGTTGGCCACTAATCGGCCATGTCCTTGGTATAAATCAGCTTGTGTTTCAGTCTTAGCCTGCCTAGCCTGCTGCAGCAGGGGCAGATTAAATGTCTTTTCATATAATAAAAAATCCGAAGTTGGAAACCGAGCCGCTGGTGCTTTTGCTGGGGACCCGGTCAGTGAGATGTGTGATGTTCTTTTCCTGAATTAATCTATAAGGCCATTTGCTTCTCCTCAAGACTCACTTCTGCAATCATGACTACAAGAAATCAGCCATTCAATGATGGCTAGGTTGTGTGCAGTAAAGAATAACGGATCTGATTTATTTTTTTTATGGGAGAAAGGTCAGCTTTACTTTTTCCTTTCTATGTAACTGCATAATCTTTTGTTTCATTTTGTTTCACACATTTGCATCTGGTTTCAAATGACTTTAAGCTCTTTTGGGGCAGGGTTAAGATTTCATGACTTTTACTAAAAAAATAACCATGACAGACAGGTCACAGGCAATAAACAAAAATTCACCGGAGCCCATGACTTTTACTAAAAATAACCAGGGGACTGGGTTAGGTAGGGCAGGAGTAATGACAGCTGGAGTCCCATGGTGTGTGTGTGTGGGGAGGGACATGCCGAGCCGCTGCCGTGTGGGGGGGCAGCCCCGGCTCCCAGCAGCCGCAGCCACAGTGGGGGTGCTCAGCCCCTGCTCCAGAGCTGGCCGCAGCTGCGGGACAGGGGCACGCAGTCCCAGTTCCAACGCCAGCCACTGGCGCACAATGCCAGCTGCAGCCAGGGGTAGGGGGCACAGCCACAGCTCCTGCCCCTGTCACAGGGTGGGGGTGTAGAGTTCCACCTCTGGCCCTGGCTTCAGCCACTGACAGCTGAAGCCAAAGAAGTCACAGAGGTCTGGTAAAGTTATGGATTCCATGACTAAATCATAACCTTAACCACGTCTAACTAGGTGTTCAGCATCTAGTACGGGGTGGCCAAACTGTGGCTCGCAAGCCACATGTGGCTCTTTTACCATTAAAGTGTGGCTTGCAAGCCCCCCATTCTCCACCTACCAGACTGGGGGGTTGGGTGGGTGGAGGGAGGGAGCTCAGGATCTCTGCCTTGCAGTGGGGTGGTGAGGTAGGGTCTTCTGTCCAGCGGGGAGGAGGGTCTCAGGGCTTTAGCCCTGCAGGGTGCACCAGCCAGGGCTCAGGGCTTTGGCAGGTGTGCCCTGACTCTCAAACTTCTCAAGATTGTCGTATGTGGCTTGGAGGGTCAGTAAGTTTGGCCACCTCTGATCTGGTACGGTGTGTTATGTCTCCACTATGGACACTATACTGGCATACCTATTCTGGTATAGCCCTATAGCGTAGGCCTGGCCTATACCTAAAATTTAAATCAACCTTGCTACATTGCTCAGGGGTGTGAAAAATTCATGCCCCCGAGTGACATAGTTAAGATGACCTACCCCCAGGTGTAGATGCACCTAAGTTGACAGAAGAATTCTTCAGTTAACCTAGCTACCACTTCTCAAAGAGGTGGTTTAACTACAGCAATGGGGGGTGGAGGGGACACACCTTCCATTGCTGCATCTATGCTACTGGCACTGCAGCATCATTGTAGCATCTGCAGCGTAGACGTAGCCATGGACACAGCATACGCTGACAGATGGTTATATAGGAACACCATCTCCCTGAATGGAGTTAGCTATAGCGACAGAAGCCCTCTTCTATTGACGTAACCCCCAGTGTAGGTTCAGCTATGTTAGCATAGCTACATCAGTCAGGGGTGTGAGAAGACCACACCTTTCACCAGTGTAGGTATGCCGACATGAACTCCAGCGTAGACACAGCTGTATTGACAGAAGAGGGCTAGCTCTCTTCAGGCAGGTGGTGGGGAAAAAACACTGGTTAGTGGAGGCAGTGTCTAAGCTACAGGGCTATGCAGAGAGTTGTGTAGACATACTGTAGGTAGGTGGATGCAGCTTGTTGGCCTAACTGGGCTAGACTGAGACATCAGAGCAAAGAGAAGAAAAAAGAAGCTGGCCAATTAAATATTTAAATGAAAAGTTTTAAAGGACAAGATGGAAATCAGCTACATTATTTGCGTTGCCACCAAAAAGTGTTCTAGCCTGTGTGTATGTATGCAACGTGTGCCACTTGGCTCTTCAAAGCTTGAGAAATAGCAGCCTTTCAGTCCTTTCAAACATTTCAAAACCCTGTCAGCAAACAAACAGCTGGGGCTTTCCATAGCTAGCAGCATTACTGCCCTCGGGTTAATAGCTGGTTGATCCTTTCCATTGCTGGTGAGCAGACATCTGCAGCCTATATCAGTGGTGCTGGTATTGGACCCAGCCCACATAGGTAACAACACATCATTTGATCCCATGTCGATCTTCTGCTGAGTCCACAGGACTGTTTTTAACTCTATTTTTTGACCTCTCCACCCTTGCTCTCTGACCAGTTGGGTGGGTTGCCACTATGAACATTTTTTATACAGCCTCAGAAAAGCTGCTGAGCATGGCTGGTGGCTACCACATCCTGTTCTGTTAGTTTCTGGGTCTTTCTAACTGAATTACGCCTGCCCTGCTCTCTACGCATGCATGGAGACAGAGTAACTAGCTAAGATCAATGTCTCTTCCCCTGCTTCTCTCCCCCTCCGCTAGAGAAACAAAGTCAAATGCTGCAGTGTAAAGTGTATGGGTTACATGAGCACTGTGAAAACATTTCTGTTCCAGTTAAGAAGAACTGGATGAGAGTGCTTGTGTTACTGCTGGTTAGTTTAGATCACCTTTGGGGCATTTAAGGGTCACTTCTTCATTGTGAGTTTTAATAGTGTGAGCCAATAACTGCATCTACTTATCTTTACTCCAGTTGGAGTTCTACCTTTACCTATCCTTGCTAGTCTCAATGAGTAAATTAGTTTAAAAACAAAAAAAACCCCAAAAACCTAATTTAGTGTATCATTTAGTATCATTGTATTATGAGTAAGGCACTTTGTTTTCTGTATTTACTGATATTTCTCCAAAAAAATCCTGGGTTTTTAAAAAGCTGGTGTTCAGGTTTTAGTGACTTTCAAACAGACCCCTCCCCCTCAAACTTCATTTTTTGGGGGGACCTCTTTGTGGAGGAAGCAAATGGGACTGAAGCAGAGCAGAAGGCTGCACCCAGTGAGTACTAGCTCCTGGCCCTTCAAAGTGGCAGGGGAACCGGATGGCTCCATCCTGAAGGGCCAGGGTAGGAAGTGCTCTTTCCAGTGGGGATGGGTTCATACTCATGGGGTGCACCCCTCCTGGCCCTTCAGTGTTGCTCTATCTGCTTTCTTTGAGCAGCAGGGAGTGAGAGGGACAGGGAGCAAGACCCCGGCAGCCAAGACCACCTGACCACTATGTTGTGAATGCTGAGCAGCCCTCTCCTCCACCCACTGCCCT